TAGGGAAAGTAGGACCAAGGAGGAAAGATAAAATAGTAAAGGAAACTCAAAGAAAGCCAAAGGAATGGGATACAGAATAAGACAGACAAACATTTAAGAAAAAAAAAAAACAGAGTAGGAAGAATTCGTTTATCAAGTAAAATATAAAAAGGAAAAAAAAAATCAAAAAACGGGAAGCTACACATATTTTCAGACTTTCCCTTTGTTTTCATTGTTTCTTCCTATCAGCTTGGTTATTCCAGCCAACATGTAGTGGGTGAGGAAACATTTGATTGGTGAAGGAGTGAGATAAACGTCACCGTTTTGAGATCACATTATCCAGTGCAGCACAGACATCCCTGACCTAGCTTTGGGGTAGCCAGGTCAGGTCCCACTCACAATCTGGCCATGGCACCACACAGCTTGGCACGAGCAGCAAAGACAGACCACTCAGCAGAGCAAGAACTCAGGCACTGAAACCATCCCGAGCCTTACTCTGCTGACGGCGCACTGCTAGCAGTAGGTTGAAGTGACTCAATCTAACTCCAAAGACAACTATGCTGCAGTTGAAGTAGCTCAGATACCATCCTGAATAATCAGGAAGCCTCACCAGAAGGAAACAAATATCCCGATTGCAAAGAAACTCCCAGGCATTTATCTGCTGCGCTTACACACGCATACAAAACTTAATCACAGTTCACACGAACAAACAGATACAGCCTGGCATGAAAAAGTTCAAATCAGAAATGGAATGATAGTCCTTAAACATCAGAAACAGAATGTTCCTGGAAAGCTTTTCAACAGCACCAGGAGTTACAAGAGAAAGCTAGTTGCTGCTAAGATGTTTTTGAACAAGATTACGTAACATAATACAGGCAATAACAGAGAAACAGACTTTTATTAGGAAGTTTTTCTCTATCCCATACTCCTAAATTAGAAATTTTTCTCTTTTGAGTAAGCTTCACTCTTCCCTAGGATAGCCTTTGAAGTACAAGAGAACCACTAGCATCCAGTCTCAAGGAATGCATGTTGTTATTCATTATTTTCCTCCGTAAATCCAAAATCAAGGGGTTTATTAGCCATCTCCTACCTGTCTTCGTAAGCTTGAGGACTGAACTGGTGCATTCTCCTCAAACTTGGCCAGCAGCTGCGTTGCCATAGACTTGACTTTGTTCTGATTCCCAATGGCAGCATCGATTCTCCTCTCCGTCAGGGCGCTCACCAGCGTGGGTCTTTCTTCCCTGTAGCCTCGCGGGACGTCCTCCTAACAATCGGTGACGTCAAAGTTGAACAAGATGCAACTTTTCCCCTCCACCCCTTTGCTCTGACAGTAAAACCACCGACAACTCAAAGCACTTAACTCATTTGTACCTGTTTACCTATAAACATTTCGAGGGAAGGACTGCCTGCCTCACATGGGGCACACTAGAAACACACACTTTTTGCACTAGCCAAGGCTAAAGTTGAAATATGAATGAAAATTCTGACTACACTGCATGAGTACTGCAGTAAAGTTTTATTCTTGGTGTCCTCATCAAATCAAACTAAACTGCAATAAAAACAGAATACGAGGGAATCGCAGCATTTCATTTGTTGTGTTCTCCTCTTTCATAAGCATCAGTAAAATATTTGCGCTGTAACTATGACAAAGCATAACCTCTGAAGAATAATAAATTTTTATTTAAAAAAAAACTTATATAAACCCTGAATATAGAAAACGAAAGGACTGAATTGGGAACAAGGAACCTACCACATGTAGGTGTCCCTGACATCTTCCTCACTGTAATACTTACATCCTCAGATTGGCTAGTTTTTCTCCTCTTTCCTGCACCATCCAGTTCCTTTTCTTTTTTGTCCTGAAAATGGAAGGAGGAGGCAAAAAAAACCAAAGATAAGGATTCTCATACCTTTGTAGCCTGAGATAAATGTCATCAGTGCCCTTAAATAAGCTTTGCAACACAACTGATTAATTCTCTGGGCTCATCCTCCATTTATTTGAGGAGATTCTTACCTTCGAATTGGACATTCTTCAACACTTCCAACTAACTGGGAACCGAGCAAGTTGTTATGTTCCAATCCAAAGTACATCCTCAAATACTACCACCAGGCTAGGATTTTAAGACTGCAATATACCACTCGTTGAGAGCACATATTACAGATGTGATTCTGCAGTTATGAGTGTCATGTTTTGCCCCGTGCCAAGAGCTGACGAGCACGTGGTCTTTTGTAAATTCAGAGCAGACACTTACACATACATTTTTAGGACCACCTACTTGGCCAGCAGCCTAACAGACACAAGTGTTATCAACACTGTGGTATGGTTACCTTCGGAGTGCGTTTCCGAGAGATGCTTTGTCCCAGTTTACTGAGAAAAGAGATGGGTGATTTGGTACTGGCAATTAGGGCAGCTTTCTCTTCTGCGTTCAGGTCCAGACTATCTGTTAGCAAAACCAGAGAGGACAAGGGAATGTCAAGCAATTATTCTGTGGTGCTATTATTAAATTCACAACTGAAGGACTCACTGATTTATTTTTTTTTTAA